TCCACATTTTTGGATCCATATTGGGTCCCCTTCCGTGGAGGTTATCAAATATCCATGTGCAAATGATCAAATATCCATATATATATATATCCTTATACACCCCTATGTAATAAAGGCTACCCTACATTTGGGTACCATTGTTTTGGAAATCCTCCTTGTATCGGCTTAAGGCTCAGGAGTGGAAGGGAAATCCGAGGAGTGGGTTTCGTGTCTTGCCCTAAGGGTCCAAGGACCCAAATGATAGGGTTTTAGGGCCCAAATACTATAATATCAATGGTATTTGGGCCCTAAAACCCTATTATTTGGGTGTTTGGACCCTTAGGGTTGCTTTGATTGAAGGCCTGGCTCTACGTAGCCTACAGTTCCTGGACTGGAGTACCCGTTGAACAATGGTCTCTACATTTTCGTGTTTGTACCTTTTGTAAGGGTCTGAGTTACTGTAGGTAGTGCTTTGGTTCCCTAACCCTTCTCCCCAGTGTTTCGATGAAGCCAGGACTTTGCTGCCCCACCATGCCGTGGTTCTCGAGACACATTTTAATAGTCTAGAATTCTAAAAGCCAGCGGAAATTGTAATATCTACCAAGGTTCCGGGGACCTAAGAGCCATGGGGGCTGGGCTAGCGGCATAAGGGGACTGAGAGAAAAAGACACCTTGGCGTTCCATCCGATAGATGGAGTGCCTGATTTCGGGTGTTGGCATGGTGTAGTTTTATGGTCTACCTGTCATTAGCACCAGCTACATTCAGTCCTTACCTATGTTCCGCTGCTAAAAGCTGTAGCACAGCTGGCGATACTCTGTTTCTGAACTTCTGGATTACATATAGTTTTGAGCTGCCAGAGAAGAGGTGTGGCACATCCAAGGAACCATAGTTGGCATATGAACACTAGGTCGCGTCCCTCAGCCTAAACCGGGTACCCCTCAAGAATGAGCTCATCTTAGCCCATCATAAGCCCTGCTGGTAACTGAGGCACTTACTGAACTTTGGACACAGGGTCTATCATACATCTGCAGGACATCAGGAATATTTGGTAAGAAGGCACTTTTACCCTTGTCAGAAGCCCATGGCATGCCACACCTTGCACCCTTCATTTACTTGACATGTAGCCCTGTTGCGGTAGCTTCAAACCGACTGCATAGCTGCATGCTTTTTTCTTGCTGGATCTTAGCAGGGAAAAAGAGAATTCAATCCCTACTTGATCCCTATATAATAGAGTCCCATATTCCCTACTAACCCAAAACCCGAATCCCCTAAACCTCCTATCTATCTATATATATATATACACACGCACACACACCACATATATACATATATATATATATACATATATGTATGCATATGTACACCCTCATTGACTACCAAGAACCAGTAAGTTTTAGAAACCCTAAGCCCCTAAAGCCCTGAACCCCTAAAACCTAAACCCCTAATCCCCTAAACCCTAGACCCCCCAAAACCTAAACCCCTGAACCCTGAATTTGTAAAACCCTAAACCATTAAGCCCTAAAACCCTAGACCCCTAAAACCCCGAAACCCTACCCCTAAAACCCGTAAGCTTTAGAACCCCGTTTGTCAAAGCCAAAAGGAGACGCGCTTCTCGCTGTGACATGGTGGGCAGATGCTTAGAGTTGAGGGCCCCTTATTCTTGATTTAGGGTTTAGGGGTTTAGGGTTTCAGGGTCTAGGGGCGCGCAAGGCACCCCAAGATTCGTAATATCCGACGTGTATCCCAAAGTGGATATCCCTGCGGAACGGAGGCTTCTGGCGCAAGAAGACCCTAGCTAAGAGCTCTTAACCTAGACTGAGAAGCGAAGCCTGAACCTCAGAGGCCCAACCACTACAACCAAGACCTTCAACCCTAGTCTCGAGGCCTGAAACCCCAAACCAGACATCCTGAATCCAAAGCCCCTAAACATTTATAGTCCCCCTTAAGTAGATAGAATATGGATGAATATTGGGTATAAGGGGGTCTTCTTATAATATACACCAAGCCAAATTCTATCTACTTAAGGGGGACTATAAACCCTAAATCCTAAGCCTTAAGCCCTGAATCCAACAGCCCCTTCCAGAGGGGGTTAATTTTAGGGTTTCAGATTTAGGGATTAGGATTTTGGGTTCAGGGTTTAGGGTTTAGCATTTAGGGTGCCCTGTACAGGTTCAAGGCAAAGTTGTTCCGGGTTTAATGTAGACCGCTGAAGCAATATACACCCTCTCCCCTTCCCCCCCATATTAGGGATTAGCATGCAGATCCTAATATTCAGGCCCTTAGAGGGAGGGAGTTTTTTAATCAGGGGTCTAGATGAGGCCCGAACTTACAAATCCCAAACCCCACAGCCTTTTCGATTAGGGATGTCTCAAGGTCGTAGCTCCCTGGATCGAGCTCCGTGTTCAGAAATGGATTTTGTGTCTAAGCACGTAATACACTGGTACCAACATCCTGGTGTAGTTGCCTTCAAGGTACCTGACATAGACCTGAATAGATAGTTCTAGACAATGAAAAGATTTTGGTAACCCCAACCCCCCCAGAATTAGGACCCTATGCTTATCATGTGCTTATTATAGGGTCCTACTTTTCAGATTTGGGGTTACCATAATCCCCTTATTGCTAGAGACGGTTGAGAAGGGGGTAGCTGCTGGGGTGAATCCCTGCCCCTCCATGGGTGTCCAAGTCCCCAACAGTACTTGGGATTTTGGCAATCTTGCTTTCATTGTAGACAGAACCTTGTATCTTCTTAAGTTTGGTCCGATGTTCACATGCAGTTTCGAAATTTTGGTAAATGAGGTCACACAGGATTATGTCCATTAATCGTAGTAGTTCTAGGCCGGTAGTATGGGCTTCTTATTCGCGTCTGCAGTTGCTCCGGCTCCACGGTTCAGATTTTCTACATACCAGAGGTAGAGCGGAAAGACAGAAGGACTCTGTGACTCTATGATAGTTGTCAGTACCCATGGTGGTCTCACTACATGGATGAGAGGAAAGCCTGAACCACCTGGGAGTTTGGCTCCACATGTGGGCCGAATACCAGAGTCTGCGGACGAAATGTAATTAGAAGCGATGTGGAGGTCCATACCAGGGGGTCAAGTGGCCCCCAATAGTAGGTACTTTGGCCTAATGGAGGTCTACAGGGCCGTTGAGCCTTTTGAATGTTGGGTGAATTCTCCGGGCTCAGTGTATGCAGTTTGGGATTTAGGCCTTATGGCGGAGGCATGCGTCCTTCAGGGTGTCGTCAAGCATCTTGATGTTGAGTTCTATCAGTGAGGGCAATGAACAAGTGGCCGGGGAACCCATGCATGTCGCTGGGTACATTTCGGATGTAAAGCCCCGCCTGGACCTGCCTAAAGCCGCGTTGTAATGGTATAGAGTTAATCCAGACATGTGGAAGGACATGCAGAGTGCAGGAATCGATTACAGTAGAAGATGTTAAGATAATCCTGAAGAAGAAACACTACAGCTTCCTGCACAGTCTCCAGATTTAATCTGTATTTCTGCATCCGCAGATTTCCCTAAGCTCGAAACCTATATCACCGGGGTTGCTAGGATGCTCCCTTGTCGTGTAAACTCTCATAACAGAAGCAGTTTCATATATACCGAGGTAGATAGACATAAAGAATCGTACTTATCCATATGTCACTATTTTATTCGTACCTTTGGGGTCACTAGGAGATCTTCCGAGCTTTCAAAGTCATCCCTTCTAAATCCCCTACAATATATGAAATCCTCCAAATATGTGAGGTCTCTTCTGAGGGATATTAGTGATATTAGGGTATGAGAGGGTGCATAAAATTAGTATGAGGCCGGGGAATATTATTTTGGGCAGGCACTGGCATGGAGGAGCGCTTCCCAACCGAGTCGGCCATTGATTCCGTCCGGCGCCTGAGGCCGGTACAATTGCTTTCTGTAAAGTGGCCCACTCACGCGAATGCTGGGGTGTGTCATTCTCGAGGATTTGCTTATGACTTTTCAATAAAAAAGGGTCGACCTTTTGGCCCAGGTAACTCAGCAGCTGTGTTTAGGATTTGCTTCGGGCGTTGGCGTAGGGTTTAGGATTTAGGGTTGAGGGTAAATAGGGTCTGAGGGTTGCGGGTCTATGAGGCCGCTTCTTGAACCCCCAGAATTCTCAGGCTTTGACTTGCAGCCCGAACAAAAGGGCCATCGCATTGCACCATTCTCCACGGCAGTTCGCTCGCCTCACGGCTAGAATCCCGACCACTCTATTAGTCTTGCAGGTTGCGGCCACGGAGTCGCGAAAGAGCTGGTTGAAGATCAGAAAGCACAAATGCCGCAGTGGACAGGATATATATATATATGTATATACATAAGGGAACTGGTGGAAATTCGCAGCCCAAACGATCAGATCCAAACCCCCCATTCATCCGGATTGCAAAAGAAAGTAAACCAGACACCCTAGTCTTTGGACCCATGGTACTGGAAGGCCGGTACTGGAAAGCAGTTGAAAACAATGGGGAGGTAGAGGTTGCATCATGCTTCCTGGTAAGTATTCCTTAGCAACTCCCACACCATACATACAGTGGCAAAGATGTCCTTGGGCGCAGTACCTACCTTTTGAACAATCCATGCCTAACGTGCTTCTACCTAGAACCTTCGCACAATGCCTACGTGCCCCATACATCCTTTGCATAGCTCCCAAACAGAAGACGCAACATGGGCTTCCGAGCAATGTACAGCGCAAAGCCAGAAACCCTACCTCCACACTGCTAAATGCGGTTCAGGGTTTAGCATGTCGTGCCCTCTTTTCCAGTGCCCAGACCCTGCTGCGACCCTCTATGGGGGCCGGAGTACTCACTAACAGGGGCCATATGACCCCCATCAAGGGTACCAGGACGGTCTTGGTATACAATAACCCCAAATGTGGTTACAAAGGGTCCGGGCAAACCCTGGAGACACTAAACCCCAAATCCCAAACTGTAGAGCATTAATCCTAAACCCTAAGCCCTAAGCCCTAAATCCTGACCCTCAACCCTAAACCCTAAACCCTAAACCGCAGGAAGGAGTTGCCAGCGAAGCCCATCGTCTGCATCCTCGGGGGCACATCTATTTCGAAACCGGAGACGAAGGCGTAGAGATGGGTTGAGGGTTTAGGGTCCCAAAATTCGAGGGGTTGTTTTGAAGGTGTTGTTATAGGAGATATATAGGGACTATATATATATATATAGATTTTGTAGGGTTTGGGGCTTTCCAGAATTATAGGTACCTCTTTGGGGGGCCTCTATGATAAGGACTATAGTATTATGGCGGTCCTCTTATGTAGCAAAACTCCCATACATATATATATATATATATGTAGATGTCTGCGTGTATGCTTTTGCAAGGGTGGGGTCTACTTGGAAGCTCTCTTAACTTAGCAAGGCTGCGTTTAATAGCAGCTATCCGATCTGTAGGAATGGAGATGGGAGATAGTAAGTAGGCTTAGCCAAAATAGCCTCCAAGTACGGTCTAGCTAGCGCTGCCAAAGCTCATACTGATGTCCGGAAACTTGAACTGGGTTCAGGGTGTTTGTCAAAATGGGGTGCATTTACGGACTCTAGGGGTACATGGGGATTACTGAGCACCTCCACTTGTGAGGTTGATAGGTGCGGAGTATAAGCAACAGAGGGTTCAAAGGTTGGGGACGTCTTTCCTTAACATTCAAGGGCTGCGTTTGGGCCATCGCCAGGAAGCTCATGTCCTCATTTTCTGAGCAGTGCACACTACACTCTACTGGAGCGTATGCTTGACTCGTGTGCTCTAAAATTCCATTGGTTTGTTGGAGTTCCTTCATACGCTTCATAGCACGGCGCCTGAATTGTTTCCATACTGACTCTGCAGCTTTTCCATCATATGCAAGCATCCATGTGTTACCAGGGTTTAGGGTTATCAAACAGCTGGCAATTTGAGCAGCCGTGTACTGGATCGCTCGGGGAATCAGTCCCGAATGCCCATTCTTCATGGGTTTCTTCGCGCTGGATGGTTCTGTGTAGAGTGCTACCTCAGTTGTTTCACACAATCCCAGCTTCCATTTCATTTTCCACAGGCCTCTCCGTTTGATTCTCCGCCATTTCCCTAATCACGAAGCCCATCGAAACCCTGTCTAATGGGCTTTGGCTTGGGTTGCTCAGAAGCAGGCTTTGCAAAATTGATGGAAGTGTTTTCCCCTACTTTTGTTTTCTAATTTATTGGGGGAATTCATGATCACGGGGGTAGGGTGCAATATTCGGGGCTGCGCGGAAGTCGACAGCACTTCAACCTTGAACACCACACACGGTTTAGGGATTGCGGGTTTACAGCCTAAAGTTTATGGGTAGGGGTTTAGGGTTTGGAGTTTAGGGTCTCAAGCTCGAAAACCCTTCATGAAAGAATTTGAGTTCGGCCCCAGAGAAGGGGGGGCCATGACCTTACATCCTAAACCCCCAAGCAGCTAAGGACCCCCCAAGAACTCCTAAGGCTCCCTACAGGCTTTTCAGTTGCCCAAGACATCTTGTCTTATTGGGGCCCTGTGATGTGCAGCCCCCGTAGAGCTTCAAAAAGGTTTGGGGTCTGGGGTTTAAGGCTTTAGAGTTTGGGGTTTAGCATTTAGGGTTTAGGGTTTAGCGAGGCCTCATAGAGCCTCCATAGCCGCACCTGAAGCTAATGGAACTCCCTTAGCAACTACACATGAGCTACTGTCTAAACTCCTAGTATCCCCCTTAATAACCCCTATACTAGTCCCCTATATAATCCCCTATAGAAACCCCCTTTAAGGAGTTTTCACTATAGCTCACATGAACCCTGGAATCCTAGACCGCTTCAACCTCACACCCCGGAAATGGCACCTTTCCCACGTGGACATTTCCTGGAGAACGAAACCCATCCTCTCCCGTCATAAAGAACCCCCTCACCCCCCTAATGATGAGTAACTCCCCCAAAAAGTAGCATCATATTATAGGGGAATTTTCAGTATTTGGGCGGAAGGGGGTTGTTATAAGGGGTCATGGGAATACAGCCAAAAACCCTCACAATGCCAACGAACTCTGTCAGGAGACGGCCTGGAGCTCAAGGGCTTAGTTTTTCGGGGTGTGGGGGTTGAGAGGTTGAGGGGTACAAGGGTTTGGGGTGTACGGCTTGAGGGTTTATGGGTTAAGGGGTCTGGGGGTGAGGGCTTAAGGGTGTAGGGTACGTGGATTTTGCGTTTAGGGGTTCAGGGCGTAGGGATTTAGGGTTAGGGGTGTAGGGGGTTCGGGTTTAGGAGTCAGGGGTGTCGGGGTTTAGGGGTGGGCCTGGACGTCGCTTGTGATTCCTTAGCGGTACAGCAAGAGATTTCTCAAGCGTTTAGTGTTAGGCGTGTAGGCTGCCACGGTGTAGGGGTTTAGGGGCGTAGTCGTGTAGGGGTAGGGCTGGACACCGATTGTGATTCGTTAGCCGTCCAGCAAGAGTTGTTTTTTGACCTTACTCCAGAAGATCCTACAAACGAAGCCGACTTGTAAGTGGACTACACAGGAAATGATTTTGAATTTCTATTACCCTAATCCCTATATGATCCTTATAAAACCATGAAAACTCAATTTCTACAAGGCCCAAACCTACCGTAGTACAGTCACCATCAGCCCTCGTTATAATGATCCCTTAGTCCACCCGCAAACACATGAGCTATCGGCTGAAAAGCGGGTTGCTATGTTTTGTTCAACGCTGATGGGGGAAGGTTGAATTTCAGGGCAGGGAATAGGGAAGTCGGCAAAAGCCTAGGAATCCAAGTATACAAGTAAGACCTACATTGTGCATTGTAGTCTGTATATATTGTTATGTACAGGGCTTTATACAATTTATTTAGGCATGTGTGCATATATATATATATGTTTATGTATAAATATATTGATTGATTGGGTGGCATGTTGCATGTCAGGGGGTAAGGGGAGTTCGTACTACGGGAAGGAGTTGTTGAGTTTTCACAGGCACACCAGTTCTGCCACCACACCAGCGAGCAAGAAGTTTCATAAGACCGGCAGTATATCAAGTTATGCCATGAGAGTAATCCTGAGGCAGGCTAGAAGTCCCAAGATGAGTGGGTTGGTATAACTAAGGCTTTGAACATCTCAAAGTGCGATGCATCTTGCGCCCTCTGGTCTGAACTGACGCGACGAACAGGACCTGAATTCCCAGCTTTCACTTTCAAAACCAAGTTATAGCCAGGCAGTATCTGATAGCTTCCTAAAACTTATCACATAGGTAGCACTAGGGTTTCGTACTATACCTGCCTCATTCCAGCATGCTGGTTGCGTTGTTTGCATTATGCCATTAGGAATGAGGCGTGAGAGTAGAAAGAGTTTGATGTTGTCACCGAAGCCCATAGTACATCTTTACACAATTGCAGGGGTTTCTAGTTTAAGTAGATGATCACCCCTCCCACCGAGTTACAGGTGATCAAGCAGAGATAATGGCCATCATTATGCGCTGTAGGTTTAAGTTACCTTGATAAGCTCCCAAAATGAGGTAACCGGTCGTCCTAAACTCTCGGCCCTGGCTTACGCCCTCCGCCCTATCACAGTCCCAATAGCGTGATAGCAGTGATATGAGGGCCTAGGTATATATAGTGGCTACAAAAGGAGTATAGGGGAGCACCTGTTAGGAATTCTATAGGTTTGATTTTGGGAAGGTCCCGCATTACTCTAGGTCAGGGCCCTCATCCGACTTTTTCAGGATGAGGGCTGTATCGGTCTAAACCCTGGGCCGTCACACCTTACATCATCTTAAAGCCAAGGCCTTCTACATATAGATATGCATCTACCCCTATACCCCCTCTAATTTATACCAGTAACCGGCAAAGCTTAGCCATATAGATGTGTGTATTTCTAGGTACAGATACATGTGGCATATACTCCTATCCTGATCTCTAAAAGCACAACCTACAGTTTATACACGTTAATGAAACCTCAAACCCTAAAACTTAAACCTCAAACCAAAAAAACTAAACTCTAAACTCTAAGCCATAAACCTTAAACCCTAAACCCTTACGAGGTAAACGCCTTGGCAGACGGGTTGAGCACCCGAGTTGGGACGCGGGCCGTCTTCTTGACAGGGGGCATGGTTGGGGTGCAGCCCTTAGGGTTTAGGGCTTAGGGTTAAGGATCTAGCGTTCAGTGTTTCGGGCTCAGGGTTTACGTAGAGTTTAGGGTTTAAGGTTTAAGTTTCAGGGGTTGAGGTTTAGGGCTTAGGGTTTAGCGTTTAGGGCTTGGGGTTTGAATCGTTCGAAGTTTAGGATTTCTGCTTTAGGGTTCAGGCTAGCCTTCCCAAACCCTAAGGTTCCACACAGGCTAAAGTAGTCATTATTGATAGACTTCAGCCCCAAAGTGGTATTATTCGTAGGTCTGGATCTGTGGGGAAAAAGGAGGCAGGGTTCTGAGGTTTGGAAACCAGAAACCCTATACCCTAAACCCTAAGCCCTCCTCCTTCAGTGACTGTGCCCGCAAAAGAAACCAGGAGCTATACTGGCACCTGAATCAAACCCCTTTAAGGAGAGCTACAGTTACTGTCAGGGGGACTGACCCAAGTGATTCGAAAGATTCGAGAATTTTCTGAGAATAGTCCATATAATCACTCCCCTGCTCCCTCTCAAGCACCAGTAAGACGGTGGTGAGGGTAAAGGTTAGCTGTAACGCCTGTTTCCTACAGTTTAGTGGTTTTGGGCTCAAGTTTTGGGCAAGTATAGAATTCTGAGGTACTTGGAACTATTGACTTAAGCACTTATTTCGTTGACTCCCGCCGACTCTACAGAATTGTGTTTCTCTAGCCATCCCTTAGAACGGAGCGTCCTTTGGCTCCTGCATCTTCAAGCTATCTTTGCGTAATTATTGCCCTCACTCATGCGGTTCTTCGAGTTTCAGATGATAAGTTCAGAGGAGGCCACTATGTTGGAGCTACTGTAGATTGTCACACCTGAGAACCGAAAGTTTTCCTTTCATAGAAACACGCTTGCTCATGAAATCTCGTGCAAGCCCCACAATCACAAATTGTGCAGCTTTCAGCTTCGCAGTGTTCGTAGACCCTCCTCACCCAGTTCGTAGCTACCGCCCAGCGCGGATGAATTGAATGGAGATCGCGATCGAGGAGATTCTATACTTCTGAACGGATGTTTGCACTCGGACATCGGATAATGATGCAGCATTTGTTTTTGCTTCTGACCCCACTGAGATCCACACATGAACCTCCCTAAACCCTAAACCCTAAGGGGTGCGCTGTCTACAGGGCCTTGGGGTCCAAGGCAAGGGGGCTGAGTTGTAAAAGCATTGAACCTTCCCTCATTTAGCATGACGCCCGCCCAAGGGGCTCAGTACAGGCTACTGTCCTGTGATACTCTTAAGTCCTAAACCCTACACCCCAAAATGCGAAACTCCAAATCTAGATCCTAAACCCTACGCCCCAAACAACTAAACCCAAAATCCAAAGCCCAAACCCCTAAACCTCAAACTGCTGCCCAGGTGCAGAAAGAATTTGCGGAGAGCTGCGCTGAAAGCTTGTCGCTTTTTCACCTCACACCTTTTGGCCCGGGACTCACCGGGCTGTGCATTGCAGTTTTGGGTTTTTAGGGTTAAGGGTTTTAGGGTTTAGGGTTCAGGGTTTTAGGGTTTAGGGCTTGGGGTTTAGGGTTTTAGGGTTTAGAGTTTAGGTTTTAAGGTTTGAGGGTTTAGGGCTTCGGGATTAATAGGTGTTCTGCATCTGCGCATAGGTTCACGTGGTCCAGAGGTAGTTCATCTACGCATGGTTATTGAGTTCTCGTTGGGTGAGTGTAACGTGGGAGAAGGATCTAGCTGTGGCAGTTAGACTTGCACGCAATCATAAGCGAGATTCCCTAAACCCGATAAGCCCAAAACCCTATCAACCCTAAACCCTATACGTAAGCATGAAGCTCCCCATTCCACGTATTTCATTCTAGGGCAACTTGGGGTAGAGGGATGCTGCAGGGAATGTATAGGGATTTTGGGAATGCACGGGAACATGTAGGTGCTATTGAGGGATTAGTGGGAGGTTCAAATTCTGACCGTGCCTCGCGTGTGCTCGGCTCCCAAACCATACTGAAGGAATGCAGATGGCCCTTTGGGGTTGGTGCAGGGTTTATGGTTTAGAGTCAAGGGTGGTTTCGAGTTTAGGGCTTGGGGGGTTCTATCCAGGGATCTTGCCCCAATAATGGAGAATCAGTCCAGAAGAGAAGGGAGAATGTAAAGCTGAGGTTATATGAGCCATTGTAAAGACTTGTAGTATCCCTCTGAATAACCCCTATGATACTCCCTATAAGCACCTACTAAGGAGCTTAGACTATGGCTCACATATTTTTTAATAGAGGTCGGAGTTTCCCAGAATTAGGGGTCCATTCGTGACTCAAAAAATTCTAATAAGGTACAGCATTTCGGGCGGGATCTATATTCAGGTGCCTTCTTCGATGGAAACTACCACACGAGCAACAGTCTACAGTCCTTAAATTCAAGGGGCTATATAAAGGATTACATAGGGGACTACCATAGGGGTTACCAAAGGGCATACCAGGAGTTTAGACTATGACTCAGATTCAGGTCCCTTCCTTGATGGAATCTACCAAATGGGTTAGAAGAAAGTGGAGGAGCTTCAACTCGAGGGCTTCGAACCTTGAGGCGCTGTGTCTCTTGCACATCCTGGACCCTAAGCCCGAACCCTGATCCCTGGATCCTAAATTCTAAACCTCAATCCTGAATTCTTAGCCCTAAGTTTAAATCCTAAACCCCAAACCCTGAACCTTAGACCCTAAACTACCCAAGCCTTGACCTTGATCCCTGTTTGTCAAGGGACTTTAATGCGAACCTCGAACACGGATCCCCAAGAATATAGTAGGAATAACAGAAATAGGCCTACTAGGGTCCCTATATTCATCTATATTCCTACTATATTCTTGGGGTTTCCTGTTTGAGGTTCCCATTAAAAGTCCTGTGAGTTTGGGCTTGCAGTGTAATTGGCTGCCCAACGGAGCTCGTGCTTTGTGGGGATGTCATTTGGCCAGTGCGAGTGGGATACTCAAAGGTGGGGAGTAAGTATGGCTTTAGCGCTTAGGGCTATAATGTTAGACGTTTTACAGGATGTTCCGGCCACGTTTTCAACTCAGACCCTGATAGTCGTGTGCCTCAAATTTTGTTACTGGTAGTCGTAGCACAAGCTTGGGGAGGCAAATGAGCTATAGTCTCAACTCCTGGTATCCCCCTTAATAACCCCCTATGGTACACCCCTATATAATCCCCTATTTGACCCGTTTTCAGGGGTTTAGGCTGTAGCTCCTATGGTCATTCGATACTTGGATTGGGGAAGGGCAACCTTAGGCTTCAGGACACCTGGATGTAGCCTCTCCTGTGACGAATCGGGTGGCGCCATACCGGCCTTTTATTTCCCCCGACTGTGCATGAGAAAGGGTATTTGCATACTGCAACTACTCCCTAATTTCTTGGGGGATCGTCTGGTAATCTTCCATATAGTGTTATAGTTACGTAACAGTTACGTGAGCTTCCTTGCGGCTCAGGTGAAAACAGTTCCTTCTCTGTCGGCCAAGATGTGCACGCAGGCCACCCTAAACCGTAAACCCTAAATCCCAGTAAAAAACCCTAAGCCTGACAGCTACCAAAATAGTAGGCCTATGTAATTATGTAACTATAGGGTATATGGAACCCCGAACCCAATGTTTAGGTAACTGGAGCCCCAGGGAAATACATACAGCCTCTGGAAGTCTAGAGACCCCAAACCCTAAACCCGGAAGGGTTTAGGGTTGAGGGGGTCAGTTCAAGTTATAACTTCTTTGACGATGCTCCTATTAAAAGGGCTTCTCCACCGAGTAGGTCAGGTGAACTTATGGTAGCCAAGGGGGATACACAATTCTTTCATACTACCTCCACCAGGTTCCCCTTCACTGGGATCGCTCAGGGATTTCGGGGCTATTCATGAAAAGACTGGAGAGCAGGTAATATAGGGGAAGTAGTAATGCACCCCTAAACCCTCCACTCTAAACTTAACCCATGAAAGCTGGTTTCTTCAGCCTTGGTGCTTTGAGCGTTGAGCCTTGCTGCAGACCCTTCACATGTAAGACCACTACACGGAGGCCCAGGGGTGGGCATGACGACCTTAGAACTACCTCATGACAATAAAAGGTCCTTAATTTCAAGGTTTGGGGTTGGTTACTGAAGCCTTTTTGATACTTTAGGGTTTGGGGCAGAGGCAGCCAAAGCGCCAAGACACTGTAAACATGCAGGGACCCAGATTCTACAGAATAGCTTCAGGAATCATGAGTCGGCACGGCATGGTGGCGCTGACAGAGAACTGAGTCGCCGCGAGAGAGAGGGAGCTTCAGGAATCAGGAGAGGGTAGGCGTTCTTCAGGTCATCCTGCGCATCCGTTGAAAATTAGGTTCTACACCCCAAATCTTCAGGCCTAACCCGATGTATGCTATATTAAACGGCTTCTATAAATACGCCTGACCTATCCTAGAAAAGCTGCTAGGGTCAGGATGGGGTTCTCACGATAGCCATAGGAACAATTGAGGGATTGTAATAAGGCATGTGTAGGGCATGACTCGGGCAGGAAAGTGGGGTTTAGGGTGTAGGGAAGGGGCGATGTGGTTTCTTTGCCTCCCGGCAAGGATTACACAGAGGGCAAGTTTGAGAATGTCCCGTGTGTGCCAATGCTTTCTTGTAAATGTTGCGAATGCAGGCACCAGCCTGCCCGAGAGAAAGGACGCCGGGGAGTGTTCTGAGGGTTCAGGCCTTCTAGTGAGGGTTTACAATAGTACCACCCCCCCGAGTACCCTCCCCAGGGCTTAAGGAGCCCTGGTGGAATTCTAAGTCTGGGGGGGGTATTCTTGGGGCGGGTGCTATTGCAACCCCTGGTCTAGGGTTCACAATGGATTGCGTCTGGTCTACAGGCAGCAAACCACGTGAAGACTCGTCTCATATCATGGACGACTTGCTTTCTACTTTAAGAATCGCATTTCTTAGAACTGGCAAATGGCACGCTTCCACAATGGAGCTATCCGGCCTACTTAGGAGCAGCTTCTGCAAAAGGTGCCCAGAAGATGGATTTCCTCCCGTACATTGCATTCTACCACAGTGGGAAAAATGTAATATAAGGGGAAGGGGGTTCTCTGATCAGGGGGGATATTGCCGACTCAGACTAGCATGTTACATGTTTCAAGCTTTGCAGTGCTCGGGCCCGAACTTACACGCTTAGGGGATGTGTGTGGGTGGGTGTGTTCCGTATCATGGCCCTGGGGTGAGCCACTGGACTTCTTTACACTTTGTAAGTTGTATGGTTTTAGGTTTAATGGTTCTTCGAAACGGTTACCGTCGGGAGAGATGGGGACTATAAGGGAATTGTTGGGTGGTAACGGAATTACATACGATTTAGGGTTTAGGGATTGTAAGGGACCTTGAGGGGTCCTTCTCATGGATTAAACATGCTCACATACCCTCACCACCAAAAAAGGGTCCCGCCTTGCGAATGCTTGGGCTTGCAGGACGTGTATGGCTTGCTGGGAGACCTGTACATTACGATTGAGGCGGCTGCAACACAGGAAATTTGGAGTAGTTCAGTGGTCATGCATTGCACATGAGAAGGACAGGTTTTTTTCCGCCAGATCAGAACCCATTTGGGAGATTCTCAAAACATTCCCTACAACCTCGATGAGCGAGACTCCAATGTGGGGTGAGAGAATCTCCTACTAGCAGCTTCATGGGGAACATGTCAATCGACGGTAGCGGCCGTAGCCCTGAAATTCTGCAAGCAAAAGGGTGTTGCTTACACTCTCAACCTTCAACCCTACCTGGAAATCCAGTTGATGATAGTTAAGGTCACAACAACTTGAGAGTAAAAATTTCTAGCGGACTTTAACAACGTGTCAAAACAATGGCCCAGATCCCTCATATGGTCCAATAGGCCATTATTCTGCATGGGGTCCAGGGAGCACCCAAAAGACCAAAGCCATGCCTCAGATTTCTAGCGTTTCTAGCTATTCACTGATTTGCAGACTCCGGTCCGGTGCTTAGCCCAGCGGCGAATCTCTGCTACATTCCATAGCCATAGACCCTCATCCAGCCTCAAGCCCTGAGCTTTGAAATCCCCTGGCAGGCTCAAGTACCCAGTGAATATACGTAATTACGCTTCCCCCAAGCTGTCGTAGCAGCTGTCACGCAAATGCCCTTTCCCTACTTGGAGGTTCACGGGCAGTTCTAACTGAGACCATAACTAGCAATACCACAGTCATGATGGCTCCATAGGTGCTCAGGACCCCATCATATACCTATCAGTGACCCTCACAGTGAGCACTCAGACCCTTGCGGTGAAGCCCAGGACTCTGAGACCTACTTGGACCCCTGGGTTTAGGGTTTAGAGTGTAGGGTCTAGGGTTTAGTACTAGGCACATGGGCTAGAACCTCTGAATCTTAGATCTTATGCCTTAGAACCACCAATTCGTGGGTAGTGCCAAACAAAAAACACCAGCATTGTTGGGTATATGGGCTAGAGCCTAATCCCTACCCTAAAGGGCTCTGAAATAGTTTTGGGTAAGGTTAGGCCACACCCAGTGCTATCGGCATACTCGGAGTGTACAGGGTCCTTTAATTACCAATATCCTTTGTGGTCATTGATAGTGGGTGGAGGCCGAACCCACCCTAAACCCTATCGACTGCCAAAACCCGAAGTCGTCATAACAACCCCTAAACCTAGTTACCCCAGTAGTATCTTTTCCCTTTTGAGTTTTGGGGTCTCTTTATTATTGAGGGGTTACTGGGGAACCTAGAAGCCCTATTGGGTACATGGGCCCTTAGTTTCCGCCTTTCGCAAAGGGTGGCCCTGGAGTCGCGGGAGAAGCTAAGGCATGGGCTTGGTGGAAGGTAGAGAGTAGATCTACAAGTTTTGGGTTTGAGCTTTACTAGGTGGTACTCTGGAAAAGTTAGTCATTTCTCTGTTGTTGTATAGGCGGACCTATTCACAAGTGGGTGGCCGTTCAAGTACCAACCAGTTAAGGACTTGAGAATTTGAAGGCTGGGGTTCAAACTTGTTTCCATTTTCTTTTCCATTATCCCAATATAACCCCCCATATTCTATCTATTTAAGGAGGACTATATGTAAAGGTTGGGCTTTAGGGGAGCTACGAGCTTTGCGGTAGCAGTCAGGGATGTTTCGCTTCCTGGCGTCGGCTTCTGTGCAGGTTCAAAAAGGGTGTCAGGATCCGGTCTAACCCAGAACCCTGATAAATAAACCACTTCCCATTAATAGGAATTATAATAGGAAGCCTAATATTCAGGCCCTTAAAAAGAGGGGGGTGATCAATCAGGGGTCTCTATACTGGGGGCTAGGGTGTCAACTTCAGGGCTTCGGGTATCCGGGCCTGAGTGGTAGGGCCTTCATGGGCCTACACCATCATCCACGTTCGGCTTGACAGGGTTAAGCAGCAAAACGGATTAAGAGGCCAGAGGCTGGGTCGTCATCATCAACATCATCACCAACATCACCGTCATCATCACCACCATCATCATCATCGTTGTCACATTGTTAGTGTCACCATCATAGTTATCATCATTATCATCATCATCCTCATCACAACCAAGGTTTCCTGTGCCCATTACATCATGATACATCATGTTCATGTGCAGTGCTATGATGACTTAGAATATTCCCAGGTATCCGCCACCTGAGCCTGTGTGTTGTGCATGGGAAGTTCTAGCTAGGATTGCATAATTGGTGTGGCAGGCACGATATTGTCAACAGGCGCAGCATATATGCAAGGTTAGCACGACGTATGCGACTTGCCAAGGGAGCTGCTGTGCAATTGTTACCGTGAGCCCGCGCCAGTCACCACCACCTTTTCAACGGTGGTGGTGGCGGTTTCGGTACTGTCGACATTGACCTTGCATCAGTATTTGTCAGTGCTTCCTGTTTTTCGTCGTCATGATTGGTCCACTACGTATGCCCATTTGCATTTGCATCTTCCAGCCTAGGTCCTGTCCCCTGGAGTACTCACAGTCATTAAAATATTTGACCAATGCTGCTTTACACCGCGCGAGAGAGATTGTGTGTACGGATTTCCTTGCTCAGTAGTTACATGTGGGTAAGCGCAGATATGCACTACATTAGTCAGTGGGGCGAATGCCACAAATGCTCACCTCCCAGCAAACCCATGGCCGCTCCGAACAACAAGCACTTGTTGTTCTTTGCAACCTGCGAGGCTTCAACCTTGAGAACCCCGCCCAGGTTTGGGATGTGGAAAAACCCGCTTTAGGGCGGGCTTAAGGATGTTGGACGATAAGCATTTTGCCAGCCCGACAAATAATTCTCACTGGGGACGACATTTATGAGGAGCTGCCGATTACAGCCTGAAACTTGACCTGTAATCGTGGTTAATCAAACTCAACCCCGAAGCCTACAACTCTACAACCCTACACCCTGAGCCTGAACACCTGTCTCAGAAATGAGCTTCAAGTGCTAAAGCTTTAAGCTAGGCTGCTGCTGAACGGGGTGCGGCTGTTGCTTGGCTCAGATTAGGAGTTTCTCAAAAGGCTTTGTTTTTGAGGAATTTTCAACATGGATGGATATGCTGATGTAGCGCTACTTGGACCCATGTAGGATGTGCCCTTTTCCTTCGCGTCCTGGGAAGGCTCCGGAAACCTTGAGTTTAGGGTTGTAAAGGTTCTATTGTATAGGATTTTGTAAAGAGGCGGCATTTTCAAGATAGGTAGTCTCTAAACCCTCAACCCTAAATGCTACTTAGAGGATGACATGCTGGAATGTTCCAGTGCTCAGCCTACCGGGTGTGTCCCACGATTACAATTTCCTGCATGCTGCCATTTCTTTGTTCTTGAGCTGCCACGGTAAACCTTATCCAACAAAATTGGGCCAAGGTACCTTACCACTACCGTAATTGTCCAATACACGGACTCTGGGAAGGGGACCGGTTTTTTGAAGCCCTAAGCCTTCTATATGCTATCCCTATTTGCTATTACACATACCCCTATATCCAGCACCCGCGCGCAGCTCAGGTGATACCTTTGATACGCAGTGGTGGTGCCCGGCTCTGAGAACACAGGTGTACTTTTTGTTGCACATTGCGAGCCACACGATTGGAGGTTTTGGGCCTTTGGTAACCCTAAGCCCGGGCTTGGGGGGAGAACACTCCTTAAAAGCAACATGCAAACTCCTAAACACGACCCTACAAAGACTACCGTACTTTGAGAAGGGCTTCCATGATAGTTTGGGGGAGGGCAATCACTGATCTCCACAAACCAATATAGAATCCCAGAGTTCATTCACTTGTCTACTGTCTTTTCCATTTGGTTCTCCATTGTTGGGTTTTATCCCCTATAATATAGTCCCAATATTGTCCCTACATAATTCAGGGCCCTAGGCCCTAAACCCCACGTGATTCAATTTTCGTGATAGGCCGTCCAGGCGAAGCTCTGGTAGCACTAGAACTTGTCTAGGGCATCCCGTCGTGCCGACCCACATACGCCCCTTGATGGGCGTATGTCTAGTACCCAAATGGTGGATGCCTAGAATGGCCCATAAGATATTGCTGACCTCTCCTGATAGCTGCAGCATGATTCGGAAACGTCGTCCACGGTTCGTCCTGACCATGGCGGACATAGTAAGTAGGTTGCTACTGGGATGATAACTGAGGTTACACTGCGGCTTCCGGGGAATATGGTAGTTTCCCAAAATAGGGGGACCCCAACATAGATACGGACCCCCACAAGGGTACCCCTAATTATGGGAAACCCCCATACAGTTACTTACTGAAGTACCTACTAGGCCCCCCCTGACCCCAGGTATTGTTTTTGTCCATCCTGTCTTGGCTGAGGCCTCCGCTGGAATGTTTGCTCCAACCTTAGATGGTTTAGGGTTTAGGGTTCAGGGTTGAGGGATTTAGGATTGAGGATTGGGGGGCTAGAGTTTAGGGACCTTGTCCTTAAGCGGGGTTTGGTTCAATGCGGGGAATCCCCAAGGCTCTCAAGGGTCACCCGAGACCTACCTCCTCTTGCGCCCACTCCCTCAAGGATCTGGCAGTGAAAAGTTTAGGCTAAGTAGAGTTTTGGGGGCTTGGCCTGTCCGTTTCAGCTTGCCATCTCCCAGGCTTGTATACACAGCTGTAGTAGATGGGCAACTCAACATTCATTCTGAGGGAACTCCAATTTCAATCAAGGTGATCAGTAAATCCTAAACCCTAACGCCCAAATTAAACCCTACACTCAGCACCAACCGTGCCTGCTGAGTGCAATGCGCGTGCCTAATTAAACCCTAAATGCTAACGCCCTAGACCCTCAATCCTAAAACCCTAAACCCTAAATCCCAACACCCTGAACCCCAAATCCAAACACCCTAAACCCCAAACCCCAAACCCTGAACCTTAAATTTAAATGAGGACGTATGAGCCGATGAGAAAAGGTCCGAAGAACAAAAAAACTGAACCCGAAACCAATGATAGATTTCCAGTGTCCTTCTCCATGTCATTCTCCACAAACCTACCTGGTAGCCCTGAACCTGAAAACAGAGGCTAGACCCTATGCGTGACGGCTTTAGGGTTTAGGGCCTCAGTATTCTAGAGCCCAGAGTGTTATGATTTTTGTGGAGACCGCCAATACGATGCCCATCATCAGCCCTGTGCTCTTGACGTGGGCTCCCACTTGATGTTTCAATCGGAAAGGGCTTGGCATTCAGGGTCAGAATAGCATGCAGGTATCCAAAGTAAGCGGTCCTTCTTGTGATGGTCCCTTCCACAAGGACTCTAGTGGTTTGGGTTACATATGTCCCTCTAGTACATACATACATGCCGAAAGTCACATGGCCTTTGTAGAGTCTGCAAATCTACCTTCACTGGGTTGCTGTTAAGGACCTTTTTTTCTTTGCTACAATTAGGAAACATCATCATTTACCATATACGCATAATATGGTACCTTAAATGACGTTCCTAAACAGCAACCCACACCTGGGCGTTTCTTCTTGTAACCACTATAGGTCTAGAGTTTAGGGTATAGGCCCCTAACCCAAACCAGGGTCCTCAACGGCCCAGGGGCCCTTTGTGTGCATGAAAGCCTGAATATTCAATCCTGATTTCATGTGTCAACCGACCCCACAAGAGTACATCATTATTTTGCCAGAGGCTCAGCTATTTTGCTATGATTTTGGAAAGCCTTTCCTCATGCAGGTAGCACTGACGCCTCCTTCCTTGTTTGCAGGTGTGCGGGTAGTTGGCATTTGGTTGTAAGATCCTCCATGGCCGGCTGGCGAACATGCAGTGCGTAAGAACGCTTCCTCGAGCTACCCGAACTTCCTAGTGCAGCATGCTGAGCTAACTTCAGTATACCTTCGGGCTCGTGAGGCCCCCCTATGTCACGAAAGTATGTATATACCTCTCAGTACAAAGCCTAAACCCCTAAATGCAACAGGCAACGTCCTAAACCGTCAGGTCATTCTGTGTATCCCGCATTGGGGTACTATAGCCGACCCATCCTGGATACCCTTAAGTTAAGCCTTCTTCAACCCTCAGACCCTACCCTTAAACCTAAACCCTATGAAGCTATAACCCAAAGGATGATAGTATCTTACTCTGAACCCTATTGTGGTTCCCCCGCGTGGTGATCCTCGCCGAGGTTTTTCCGTAGGTTACACTATTACTACTATTACTATTACTAATACTATTACGATTACTATTACTATTACGATTATTATCATTATTACTACTGTTTTTCTTACTATTATTACTATTATCGTCACTATTTTTATTGTTATTGTTGTTAGTAATTATTCCCTGACCAAGGACTTTCCGACAAGCTGCCTGGACAAGCCACACTGGGCCCTGGAACCCCAGCAGCTGGGTCTACTTAGCGGTGCTTCAGGGGGAGTTGAATGGCTTTGGGTAGGGTCTGAGGTGGTCCCTTTTAATTGATTCTGGGGCAGTGACGGGTATACGGTAGTCATTGTATTCTCTGCTAGAAAGAAGGAATCCAGAGAGAAATGGTGAATTATGGGGGGAGCACTTATATTATCTAGGGGTAGTTGTAGTCACAAGGTTCCCCCCCAATATCCAAGACCCCCACCCCAATATTGATGCGCTACTATAGGAAACAATCCGTTTTGAGGGGGGAGGCGTGTTTTTTGAGCGCCGGGGGGAAGCGTGGAAGCTGTTTGTGACGGCTTGGGCATTTTGACGATGGTTTAGCGCTGAGGGTGCCTACAACCTAAACAAACCCTAACCCCTCAACCCTAAACGTGTAGATTTTAGGATTGCTGGGCGGTTGCCGTGACTCTCATGTGTCTTGCAGGGTCTTGGTAGAACATGGGGTCTGGGGTTTAGGTCGCACTTTCCAAGGCAGAGCTGATCCTTTGAAATTCAAGGAGGCGGGGCGAAAATTGCCTCTCAAGTTCTCATTGAACGTCATAGAACTAGGTCATGGCGCCTAGGTCCACAATGTCCCTTTGCACCACTAGGGTTTACGGTTTTGCGGTCTAGGGTTATCTTCACGCGTTGTGCAGTATCCTTCCTGGAATAACCCTACATAAAGTACCCATATGTTGGGACTTGAAGTCGGCACATGGACCCTCAGAAATTTGGCAATCCAGAACAGGTGCGTCCGGAAGCCCCTAATTAAGAATGAAGCCCTTCCCTCCCAATAGTAGTCTCCTTAGGAATTATGTTAAGGTTTTGTTATAGTATGACCCTAAGGAATTATTGAGAACATGATTTTGATTGTAGGTCTAAGGAGGCTACAGCCAATAGTACGCACCCCCCCATCACGTGATGGTATGATATTGGACATGAGTGTCATCGTGCGATAGGGCTTGAGCTTCGGGATGTCCACGTGTTTCTCTGCATTGGTTTCATAATGCACGTATGTACGAACTTATTTCGAAGGGCTCCAAGTGCCAATCAAGTAATAACTCAATTAGCCTTTCAGCGGCACATTCACACATAGTTTAAAAGTGCACCGACAAGGAACCAACTACCCTCCGCCAAACAACATGAAAAGCCAAGCGCGGGCCAACAAAGATTAGTGTGCCTGCAAGAAAACACCATTGCCTACAGCTTAGTAATACTTGCTTCTTAATCAGTAGGTATAACTTATACGGTATAACCCATAAAACTGCAGGCAATAGAGTTTACAGGTATATGCGTTACTGTTGGGGGGAGAAGGTGCGGTACAGTAGGATTCGGGATGAGGCTTTCAAGGCCTAGTCAGGTAGATCCCAATGAAGCCCCTACAACGGATAGGCCCTCTAAGAACCCTAAATCTTGCTTACAATCCGCTTGGGATGTAGGGCTTAGGATTGTCTAGGGAGGTTTAGGGTTTAATTAGGGTGTAGCATTTAGGATGGTTTAGGGCTTCCCCCTAAACCTTAAACCCAAATCAGCTTCCACAAGCCTCGTCTGAGGTGGTCTCTGTTGTCGAAGGAGGCAAGTGGTTGCCTATGCTTGGGCGTAAATTTTCTCAAAACTTGTGAGCACTTTCAGGCACATTTCAAAACGTATTTGTGCATATGTATAAAAATATATACAACTACACGGACGTATACACATCTCTATAAGGTTCATGCAGGGATTAGGGTTTAGCGCTGGCGTTTGTTCTGAAAACAGGGGAGCCTAGGTCCATTGCGGGTTGTAAATGATTGTTGGGGGGGGTAAGAGGGTTCTGTAAGGAGTATTCTGGAAACTCCCATATGGCATCCTGTGGCACCATATCCGCATATCATACCCCCTTTCCGCTGACATGTTTCGGAGAACGCCTGAAGGTGCCCTCTAGCAGCACAGAAAGCCCAGACTGATTTGCCCAAAAATCCTCTGCAGTCATTGGCTGTATTGCTTCTTTTCCTGAGCGTTGCAGATCAACCTTTGAGCGTTAAAGCCCAAGACCGGCCAGCAGTGTCGAGTTTCGAGCTGCGGGATTCTTGGTTCAGGGCAAGACTGTTTAGGTGGACAGTTCAAATACGCGTGTAACGGGGCAACGTTGAACCCTAAAGCCTAAGGCCTCCACCCTAAGTCCCCAAAGTCTCCCTGAAGCCTAATTTGTCTTGAGGGGGATGGAGCCCTGTGATTCAAGGTCCACTGTCTTAGCTTTGAAGACACAGCCCTGACCATATCTGTATAAGCTATAGCCTGAACTCCTTAAAGGAGAGATATAGGGGAGTATTCTGGGGGTTATTAAAGGAGTTTAGAGTATAGCTCATATACTGTATGTTTAGGGTTTAGGGTCTGTGAAGATTCTCAGGTTAGTGTAATGTAGAAGATTCCTAGCGCTTCTAATTTGTAAACGAGCCAAATGCCTCCGCAACTCCTGTCATGCTTTAGGCCCCGAGCCTAAAAAGCTTTCCCAACTTACCTTCAGGCTTCAAGATTTTCTGTCAGACATTTTCATCTCCAAGCACACGAAAACCCCCAAAAGCTCAGATCCAGGTTCAGAAGTGATTCACCATAACTTTGGTTTAGGGATATTTAGGGTTTAGGGTTTAGGGCTATTACGCCCATTATAGTTTTCGCACAGCCCACACCTTTGTGCCAACAACCTTCGACCCTAAAACCTTGTGCAACTCCAACAGCCTGTGCAAGTAAACCCCAGATGGTTGCCAACATCATGGTCCTTGATACTTTGATAGTTATGGTATAGCGTTTCTCAAATAGACCTCAAAAGGATATTAATAATTATTCAGGCCCCTACGTGACCATTGCCCCGAGACCCACTGATTTACCATGCATCCATACACGGGCATCTTAATTCTAAACCCCAGTTATTTTACCCCTAAGCCCAAAACCCGAGAAGCTCTTTACCCTGTGAGAAGTGTTGCCGCTGAAGTGCTCCCCCGCAACACCCTAAACTTAGCGTTTTTTTGAAGGGCGGAAGGGAGTATATTGCATAATTATATACGGGTTATATAGGGATCATGATCCCTTAATAAACCCCTATGATCAACCAGTAAGGAAGCCCTACACCCTGTACCCTAAGCCTTTTACCAACGCTTCACTGTATACCCTAAGCGAGTCCTTGTCCATCTTGCAGGGAGCCTCGAACAAGGAGGCGTGTTTAGGGGTTTTGGGTGTTTGGGTCTTGGGGTTTTAGGCGAAAGGTTTTGGTTTGGGAATGTTTGGGGTTACGGTTTAGGGTGTTTGTGGGCATCAGGGTTTTAGGCAACAGGATTAGAGAGGATTTGAGGGCTTTTAGAGTTCAGGGCTGCGCATCGTTTCTTATCACTGTTCTGCGTAAACCGGGGAAAGAATATGCAATTGTTGGTATCTCAATGGGGAAGTCGAAGAGCCTTTCTTGAAGTACTGGGACTTTCTGGGGTGTTGTCCAGATTTTTGGGGATGTGTACTGACCCTGGTAGTGACAAAGCGGGCGGTTTCGGGTTCAGGTCTTAACGCCCCTCTAACATGATGGTCATTGTTGAAATTAGTTTCCAGACCGAATTGCTTTATAGAACCCCTAAGCCCTAAACCCTAGACCCTAAAACCCAGTGTTTAGGGTCTAGAGTTTAGGGTACGCCAGCATAGGTGTTAATGCTATCCCGAGGTTGAACCACAATTTTGTGTTCATGGATGAGTTATAGGCCTTGGGACGTGGAAGGCGTTCTTGCAAAATTGCTCCTAGACAAGGTAGAACATGCAATTAGGCTTCGTCAATGGCAGTTTCAAACACAGGGACCCAAACTAGTATATTCTGTCTCATGCGTGATCATATATGTATGCAAGCACAGGACCTCTATGATGTTTTGCAAACCCTAAAGCCATATATCGTTGCACTTCCATACACCACCTCCAAGCCCCTCGAAGGGGCCATGCTCTAACCATGCTCTAGATAAGCCACTGTCTAAACTCCTAGTATCCCCTTAATGTCCCGTTGTAGTAGTCCCCTATATAACAACCTTTAAGGAGTTTAGATTATAGCTCACATCAGCAGAGTCTGGAACGAACGCTTCGGGGCTTAGGATTTGCGATCCCTGCATCTACAGTCCTCGCCAAAGGTTACCTTGATTTGTCATAGTGTGTATGCGCTTATTGAAGTTTTGGTGAGACATCGTCGGTGTGCTAGAGGTTGTATACAGGACAGTTCGCATAGCGCGACGCAGTCGGTCAATTTCAAGGCTCTAACACTTTCGGGTCACAGGGTTGGAAGACCCTCCTTTCCGACACGGTGCATTGCAATGACTTAGGGCTTGGGAGGTCATTTTGTTTGAAGAAAGTGAAGTGTAACCCACAGCGGAGAAAAAACTGCTGTTCTAGGAATTGGGACGCCAAGTAATTCTGAGCACATGCTGACTTGAAGGTTTATTGTTAAGGGCTGCTACCTTCGACCAGGTTCACCTGGCAAACGTCCCTCTACGTCAGTACCTATGAAGCAAATGTAAACCTGTCATTGGGCTTTCCCCTTTTGAGGTTTCCAATTTCCCGAAACCTGAAAACCTAAACGCTATCCGCCTCATTTCCGGGTGCGTTACTTGGGGGGGCTTTGGGCTGATACTGGAGGCTTTTGAGTCATCGCGTTTCTTCGGTTGATCTGTGATGTTTCCGCTTCTAAGCCGTATAGCCGAAACCGCTAAGCCCCTAAACCCTGAACCCTAGACCATACACCAGAAGCCAGCCCAGGCTTGCTTTGCTCACCGAATCAATATTGGGGGGTCCCCCTAATTATTGGGTGAAGTTACCAAGTATACAACATGATGCGCCTGTGTAAGTCATACGGATAGTAGCAACCCAATGAGCATCAGGTAACCCTTGAGAACCCTGCCATACCAATGCCCCTTTTGCAGTTGCAGAATCCTCTGCGGTCACCTTGACTTGACGCCGGGATAGGGTACGCAGGGTTTTGGGTTGAGGGTTTAACGCCAACAATGACCCACGGATAGCTCGTTGTGAGTACGTAGGCTCACAAATCCGCCTAAGATACTTGATGCTAACCCCTGATACCCAGGCCTCCTGCACTCTAAACCCTAAACTCTTAGGAGTATTCCCTCCACAGGCCTTTCCTCTACAGGAGCCCCTAAACTGAAAGCTCTAATCTCTAAACCTTAAACGCTGAATCCACAATCCCTACCCCCAAACTATCAGGTCCTTTCAAGGAGGCTGTAAGGAGATAGAACAGGGTATACGGTTTGAGGTTATAGAGATTGTCTGGGTTGTTCGGGAGTGCGCATGGATTTAGAGGGAGGTACCCTCCCTCCTGTAACATTTAGGGTTTATGGGGTGTTGAGGGTTTGGGGTTTTGTGGACAAGTGTCCTTCAAACAAGGCCCATATGGTAGGTTGGTAACATCGCTCTCCCCTTCTGGGTTCCTCGTAGAAGACGGCCCCTAGAATTTAGAGTACCCCAAGAAGGACCATCAGCTTGACAATGAGGAGCTTCAGATTAGTTGGGGGGGACCTAAACCCTAAACCCTTAACCCTAGTATGTACCCCAACCTGGCAAGGTTGCGACGGCCATGGTATTGCTCGTGGAGTGTTACCTTCAGGCCCTTTATCCTGAACACTAAACTGGATCAATGTTGGGGATCCCTTATACTTTTTGGTTTATGGCATTCCTCAAAGTCCCCCTTAAGTAGATAGAAGATGGCTTGGGCATATTATAATAAGATCCCCATATACCCCGCATTTCATCTACAAAAGTGGACTATTAATACTTATGAAAAAACAGGATCCTTTTTTCTTCCTGAGGTAATGTGGGCCAGGGTGTGGGTTAACGGTTACCTTCAGCACGGCTCATGGTTTCAGGTTTCTCCTGTTTGGGTTAAGGTGTGTGGGGTTTAGGGCTGCTTGTTTGGGTTTCAGGCATGTGTATACAGTATACATGCATATGTTGGGGGATGTGGGTCTATTAAGGGTTGGGAGCTTTATTGTTCTAGGGCATGGAGAATTACATTTTGGGAGATCGGTTTAGGGTTTGGGCTTCAGGGCTTATAGGGCTCCAAGCATACGCTTTCCCCCTGGCTTAAAAGAATTTTGGGCTTAGGATTCAGGGGCTGAGGGCCGAGGCCTAGTAGTTATAGGGTTCAGGGCTTAAGGGGTTCAGGGCTTGGGCCAAAGAACGGTTCCTTTGAGCAGACGTTGGCGCCTCAGCTTAAATCGCCATCCAAACATGTAGGTCCTCCTTCTACACCCAAACTGCTCTGGTAATGTCCTTAGAGGGTCCCTAATTTTTGGACACCATCAGGGCCACGAACCTCCAGGTTTGGAGCTCCGAGAAGACAATGCTTGATCAGGTTGTGTCATGGGATTCGGGATTTGCGTTTACAGTTTTGACGCCGTTGCCCATTGCTCACCAACACCACCCCCTACCCTCCTTCTGGGTTGAGGGTAATGTACACCCGTGATTTAATAAACTCCCTCCTTCTAAGGGCCTTAATATTAGAATTCCTGTTCAAATCCTCATTAAGGGGAGGGTGTTTATTCATCAAGGGTCTGGGTTAGGGCTAATTTAGGCTAATTAAGGGGTTCAAGAAGATTCACTTCTGCCAAGCATGAGCGGGCTTGCGTTTAGGGTGTTGGGTAGGCTCTAAGCCCATACTGGTTTGTCTAGACATGCAGGCTTGGTGATGATGGATTGAACGGATGTTGGAAGTCTACATACTGCCCATGTGTTCGGGCCTAAGGTTTATCATCAATACCTATTCTTGGCTTTTCAGACCCAGGCAAAGCTTTGCATGCCAACTGCCCAGTAGCAGCCTATAATCTGGCTATTATTGCAGGATGTATATACCAGCAAGATCTGAGTGTTGTTAGCTGCAAGCGGTACCCCAGACATGCCGATATGCCTGCTACCCCAACTACATACAGTTCAATAATAAATCGTCCGGATTGGTAGGTAATTGTAATAAATTGTCCTGATGAGAAAGCACAACTGCACAAGTCTTACAAGGGCACCCAGGGTCTACTGTTTAGGGGTTTGGGGTTTCGATTGTACGGTTCCCCTAGACTGCCCCCCTCCTACGTTCGCCCTTACTTAAGAGTAAATCATGATCAGGGCTGGTCGAGGATAATAAGGGGGGGGTCAGTAGGGAAACCCGTGAGCTTGTAATCCTAAACCCTCAACCCTAAACTTGCCCTAAACCTTAAACCCTCAACCGTAAACCCCTATACCGAATTACGTGACCCTGATCAGGAGCTACAGAGAACCGGCATGCCGGGCCCTTGACCCTACTTGGAGGGTCAGGGTGACTAAGTAAGTAGGTTAGTAATAGGGATTGTTGGGGTTATTATGAGGCTTATAGGGGTTATATGTACACTTACTAAGTCCCCTGACCCTCTAAGTAGCGAAGCATCGCCATTCTCAGAGAACCGAATGCCTGTTGAAGTATTTGATCGGGGGGTTGAGGGTTTTAGGATTTAGGGTTTTGCGGCTTAGGTTTAGGGGTTTAGGGTTTTGGGGTTTAGCGTTTAGCATTCAGGGACTTCAATGTCGAATGATGCTAGGAACCTGAAGATGATGTAGGGTAGATATCTGAACTAATGAAGGGTTTGGGGCCCGTTGGCTTGTTCAGGTATCAAACGGGATGACCGACCTTCGTCCCAGGCCAACATAACAGACGCGCCGTCAAGTATTCCATCAGAGCACGACTAGAAAGCTTAAAGCCAATTAGCCGTGATGCCGCACTAGCAATCCCCTCCCCTAATAATGAATTCCTTCAGCCCGAAATTTTTGACCATGCCCCAATATAGTACCATAATGCACTCCGAGCATTAGTAGACATGTTTATCATTTATATGGGGCTAGGGAATTGTTATGAGGAGGAAACTGGCATTGCATGACGCCAACGTTTTGTAACGTGCTGACCTATGACAATTATGGCAGGAAGTGCCTGAAGGAGCTTATAGCCAGAACTACACAGAATATGCGGGCTATACAGGGGTTATATTGGGATAATGGAAAAGAAAATGGAAACTGCTATGTAGGGTTTATAGGGTTTATGGGCATAGTCCTCCTCAAGTAGATAGAATATTGGAAGTCTGTTTTTTTGTGTTCCACGTGACGCGATTCCATGTATCCTTTGTTGCGTACTCTACATACACACGACCCATTGTCAGAAGGTAGTTCAGACATTGGAGGGAGCACAGGGCGTAAAAGGGATTGCTCTAGAGTCAATGTTGATTAGATTCGTGGGAGAAGAAACAAAGGCACCCAGAAAGCCCAAGACCCCTTAATCAAAGCATATAAATACACAAGGGATCCCAGTAGAATTTGGGGCATATTACCTAGTCAAGGGATATTGGGCTTCTGGGACATTGACGTATGGCGCAAGAGGCAGTGGCAAACAGCAAGGTTCGACCCCAGGTTCAGATGTCTTGGATCACTCAGGTGTAGCTGTGGTAGCCAAAATGGGAAACCATTAGGCAGACCTACCTTTGGCTAGCTAGGAATGAAGGAATGAATCCTTATAGTAGTCCCTATATAACCCATTATAGTAGTTTTGATTTTCTTTTCCCTTCCTTCATTCCCAGCGAACCAAGGGTAAGACTTTAAACCTGCAATGTTCCCCATGGAGCTGGGATGGGGATCCTTGGAGTGACAGTATGGCGTCTTCAGCTTAAGAACATAGGTACGGCTGCTGTCGGTATCCCTAAACCCAAAGCAAAACCCTTAACCGCGTTATCCGCTCCTTGCATTTCCTACTGACCACCTGTGAGACTATTTTTGACAAGCCTTTACAGAGGACAGTTGTTGTTGCTTAGTACGGTTGGCTCTAGTGTGTCATGTTTATCTTCTTCTTACTAGTATCAAAATTATATGAAAATTAGCGTTATGGTTATGTGAGAGAGTTCAGTGGTGGAACCTGGTGGTGCTTGTAGGCTTCTTTGGAGGTTGCGGAATCGGCACAGGAAATTACCCAGAATGGTGGCAAGCTCATGGAAAGTTGCAAGTACAGGCGCAACAAGGATCATCTTGGCCCAATTCATCTAGGGAGCAGGAAGTGACGATGCCACGATGTGTTTGCAAGCACATATAGGTGCTGGATATTGATCGCGAGAGTGGGCAATATACCGAAATACATGGCTTCCTTACTCTGTGGCTTTAGCTGTATAGCAGGTCCGATGAGGAAAGCTGGACAGCGCGTGTGTCAAACATGATGTTGAAATCGCCAGCGGTCGGCTGGCAAGGACTCGTATTTCAGGAGTTGTACTGTCACACTGGGGTACCTTAACAGGCCCAAACCCTAAAGACGAAACTCAAAACTCGGACCTCGCCGTTTACACTATGGGTCTCCGCATCATGGTAGTCCTTTGTAGCAGTCAGAGAAGGGCTCGAAGGGAAATGGAGGCTTTAGGGCGTAGGGGCTTACAGAACTATGTTGACCAGGGATTTCGTGTCCTTCTGCCAGGCTTTCAAATGCAGTGCTGCATCACAAAGCATAAGACGTTTACCTTCCTAACCGTTCAGCCTTCATCCTAAACTCTGAACCCCTAAACCCCTAGAACATAAAACTCTAAATCTTTTAACCCCAAACCCCTAAACCCCTAACACCCCGAATCCCTAAGCCCTAAGCCCCTAAACCGTAAATCCCTAACCCCTCAAACCCCCGACCTTTCACACGTCTACTGAAGCCTCAGTAGCTTATCTTTGGATAGCTAGGAATGAAGGAATGATTTCAAATAGTAGTCCCTATATGACCCATTATAGCCATTTTCATGTTCTTTTCATTACTTTGAAGCCCTAAGCCCTAAAACCTGTAGTTTCCATTTTCCTTTCCAGTCCTTCATTCCCAGCTAACCAAAGGCCCGTAAACCTCACCGAATAATCCCAGCTTCCATTTAATTTTCCATTTTCTTTTCCATTTGATTCTCCATTATTGGGGGTTATATATCTTGCAGTAATGAAAGTAAAGGTAAGGTAAACTCCAAGGCCAGGCAGCTCCACCACGCCATGGTCGCGCCTTGACTTCGTAGTGTCCTTCAAAAGGGATCCCAACCTGGACCCCCCCGTCAGGGTTTAGGGTTTAGGGTACAATCCTTCTTTTCGCTACAAGAGATGATAGGGACCCCAATATAGACCCACTGCTACAATCCTTCCAAGTAGGGGCCCCGGCCATTAGACTGTAGGAAGCCGCCACTTAGCTTTGGATCCAGGACCTCTGTCCAGCCGCTCACCCCACATATCGCCCAAACCCCTAGATCTTGCGCCCAAAGTCCTACGCAGCTAGTATTAGAACCCAAGCTATCTCGCCTTCATGCAGGGTTCAGTGCTTACTGTAATATAGAGGGCCGCCGATTTTTGACACCCAGTTCCCCCTTGAGAAGGTGTCCTACAAGTCGAAAGCATTAGCAAGGTCGGGAGGAGGTCTGCGAAGTTTAGGTGATCTCAAGTCTAGACTCATTCAAGGGATTATATAGGGGACTACTATACGCATTATGAGGGGGGATACTAGGAGGTCAGACTATAGCTCAGGTAGATTCTCATTTTGGCGGCATTGTAAGACTTTCGAGAAGTCCTCGCCCACAATTCATGGCCCGTGTGAGATTTGCTGCCCCTAAACCTCGGGGTAAATCTAATCTGACCTTCCTGGAAAGTATTTTTTGGTAGAAGCAGCAGAGAATTGTTGAAAACTCTTCACGCGGCTTGTTTTGGAGGGATGTGTGCTCTTAAAGCTACTTGAAACAGCTCATCTTGCTCGGAGTCGAGGTACTATGAAGTTGCCGAACCATCCTACCGCAATCAGATGTTTACTTCGAATCAGATTGTTGTCATCGGACTTTATTCTTTGCGTATATCACTTAATTACATGCCCTAAACCCTAGAGTCTCTGAATTGATTCGGGGTTCTTGAGCCTTGGTTACGAGCCCAGTAATCATGGTTAGTATAGATATAAGGTTGTACACTCATACAGGGTTGTTCTGGATGATATGGATGTTTCCGTAAATAGGGGAACCCCAACATACACCCTTAGATACTGCAATCCTTTTTATGGGACCCCCAAAATGGTACCCCCCAATATTGGGAAACTCCCATATAGGGTCAGACAGGGCTTACCTTCCTGAAATGCTCAAGCTCTGAGGCCCAGCAAAAAGTAGGTCGTCGACCTACATTTTACATGGCGCTGCTCTCAGCGACGCTGTGGGCGGCTAGGTGCATTTGGCCAAAGGGTTTAAGGGCTCAGGGTTCAAATCGTTAACCTTCGTCACAGGAGACGCTACATCCAAATATCCTGAAGCCCAAGGTAGCCCTTCCCCAATCCAAGTAGCAAATTACCATATGAGCTATAGTCTAACCTCCTTATACGCTGAAAATCTGATATGGAACTTTGACTGAGCCACCACAATTTTAGCAACAGCATTTTACTTACGTTCTACCCATATTCCACCCACTTTAATTAGGCTCCTGAACAACAACCTCGTGAATTTCGCTCTAGACCCTAAAAGCAAGGATAAAGTGTGCAGCGCTCAGACTACCTATGTGCTTTCGCGCACTACAAGCCGTCTGCCACCAAGGCCGAAAACTTATTCAGAAAACCATACCCCTATATAGGGATACTACAGGGTTATATAGGGGTTATATGTGGATAATGGAAAGTAAATTGGAAAATACTAGTTAGGGTCTAACTAGGGTTTTAGGGGTTCAGGGTTAGGGCTTGTGGTATAGGATGTGAGCTATAGTCTAAATTCCTAGCATCCCCTTTACACTAACCCCTATAACACTCCCCAATATGATCCCCTACAGCAATCCCCTTTAAGCAGTTTAGACTATAGCCAATATATTTTAATTCGCAGTCATGAAAACACCCCGCTGCTTGAATGAGAGGGCTTTGGTAATCCCAACTCTTAGGATTAAGAACGTGGGGTGGCCAAAATCCCTTCTTAATCTTGAACACGCCTTACGAACGAATCCAGAACCTCAAGCGAGTTTGTCTTGCTAGCTGGCCCTGATACCTGCAGCAGAAAGGTTTTCAGTGTACCATAAGTCTTTGAACCTAAGTTGTTGCTTGAGAAAACATATAGCGAGCTAGAAACCGCAAGGAAGAATAGGTTCGTAGCAATAGACGCTACATTGAATTTTTCCCAGATACGACCATGCATGCACCCTATCAGAACATGCCCCGACGGATCAGCCAACCCTGGACCCCCCAAAGAACGAAAAAACATCGCCCAAGGCCTTAAAAGTAGCCAAATTTGCTTTTAGTCTGCATACTTTGGGGAGGCCCTAAACTTACACCCTAATCCCGCCAACAAAAAATCTGCGAAAAGAAGGTGGAAGCTGAGAGCCAGCCCTAGTGCTCCGCTGCTGTGTCTCTCCAAACTTCGGGGCGTCGGGATGTTTAGGGTTATACAAGGCTTATATTGGGTTAGAACGGGATTAATCATAGGTTATATAGGGGTTATGGGTTAGATCGGGATTTCATACGTGATATATAGGGGCTATATATGGTTCTATAGGAAGTTGATTTTTTCTTAAATGGCCGCTGTTGTTCGTACTGAGTCCGTAGCGCTAAGCAGAAATCCCACAATAGCATTTGAACTGCGGACATGGTCCTTTGTCTATGAAGCGGCATAAGGGTCCCTAACTGTCCCAAGGCTGCATTGTATCCTTCTCAAAGTCTTTCCGCAAAGACACCACAAATTTTCAAATGCCGCACAATGTTGAGGTTTGGGGTTAAAGAGCTGATGAAGTATAAAGGAGACCCGCAAACAATCCCGCAAGAGAGAGCGGCTTTACAAGTCGCATTCCTCTGTGCACACCCGGCCTTTAGATAGAGCTAATATTATGAAGCACCCCGCCCCGACCCCATTACGTTAGATATTCCGCAGTAGTAGGCCCAGGTTGGAGGACCCGTTCAAAGTTTCAGGGGGGAGATTGTCAGGAAGGCCGGGTAGGAGCCTTGTCGCTGTGCGTGACAGTCCAGGAAGAATTCCCAAGACTGTGGAAGCTTTTGAATGCCTAATGCGGCTGATGAGGGCAGTTGTCAAATTAAGGTCTGTGTGCTGAGGAACGTGGTCAAATTACAAGAGGCTCCCTACTGCCCTCGTGTGACTGTCATATATAGGGCCCTTACGACGAATGACAGGCTATTGCTACAATTACAAATCAGGGGAATATTCCAGAATGGGGCCAGCATCGGAACTGGAAGCCAAAAACGGAAGCCAACACACGAGACCGGTGCATTTGACAGCTACCTACTGAGGGTTCTGAAGACGGTTTTTTGGTCATGGGGGGGTGAGGCCTTACACCATTGCTAGACCAAATCTGTGCGGACCAAATTCCTTGCTGGAGATTAGTAGGGTATATTCCCGTATTTCGTACTTACCCCCAGTAAGCTGAAATCTAAATTCCGACTTCAGACTCCTAGACAGCTTTGCCTGGAAGGCTCTCCGGACCCACGAGTCGATGGATATCTGCCCCTAGGGGTCTAAGGTTTAGGGGTCCGTAATTTAGCGCCAAAACAGTGAAGCCTCCCAGTTGGATGGCTGTCTAGATAGATCGCTAGGGCCCCTGAAGGCTCCTCATTTTGAGATACATCAGTTCAACGAGCATATGTTCAAACCCAAAACCTAAAGAACCCTAAACCCCTGAACCCGAAACAACCCTAAACCCCTAAACCCTAGCCCTAAACTTCGTCCCCCATCCTGAAAAGCCCCTGTGAATCCTAAACTTTGTCCCTAAACCTTAATGCAGACCCGCGATTAATAAACCCCTCCCCTGAATAATGATCATAATACGGATCCTAATATGAAGGCCCTTCAAAGCAGGGGTTTATTAATCACGGGTCTACATTAAACCCTGCTAAGCCTGAAGCCCTACCATTAAACAGCTGGAGATATTCAGTCCGGAGAGCAGCGAGACCCCTCCTTGCCAGCCAGGAAAGGTTAGGTGTGGTCTAGGACATGGGGTTTAGGGTTGTAGCTTTGGGGTTTAGGGTTTGTGGTGCAAGTGTAAGGTTTAGGATTTGGGTATCCCTTACGGACTAAAGTGCTCACAAGAAGGATGCACAGGATATTCCCTTAAACATAACTATGTCCCAAACGATCGAAAAGTTGTGGGATACCTAGGAGATTCCCCAGGCTTATTACCCAATACGGGGATACTTACCGTTGATATAAAGAACTGCATTCTAGCATGCTCAGACTCAGATCATGCAGGAGTTTTAATGCCGAAGCACGAATACCTAAACCCTAAACCGAACAGTGGGATATTTCTGAAGAACACAGGGTTGCTTGAGAACAAAGCAAACCACAAGCGCTAAAAGAAGCAGTGGGAGCTTTTTGAAGAACACCTGCAGTAGGGCCCTAAATATATTGATTACCAACATGATTTTCGGGTTTTTTTGGTACCTTCTACAAGAATTTACAAGGAGCCTAGGCCCATAATATTGATGATCACTAGAAACCCCTACATAATCCCAGTTTCCATTGACTCTCCATTTTGGGTGGGGTAACGAGCCTAAACCTTAAACCCAGAAACCTATACATCCCATCTTGGCAATTCCCCTAACCCTTAACCCTATACCTCCCTAAATAACCTTCAAAGATGCCTCATAATCCCGTTAAACGGATCCCGAATCTTGCGAAACTGGCCTTCCCTGAAGCGCATCTTTGGGAGCGCCTGGCGCTTGCAGCCACAAGTTGAGCTCAGCAGCCTAGTGGGCACTCTTTTACTTGCTCATGCTGACTTATGGTCTCAAGGTTGAGGAATTGGATTTAGGGATTTGGGTTTACGGTTTAGGGTTGCGGGATTGGGTCTCAGGGTTTGGGGTCAAGGTGTTAGGGTTGAGGGATTGGGATTGAGAAAGTGATCTCCGCACATCGCTCGACGTGCTGCTACATCGGATCAACCTATTGCTATCAGGGTTTAGGGGTCAAGGGATTAGGGTTTAGGGATTAGGATTCCGAAAGTGATCTCGGCACATTGCTCGACGTGCTGCTACGCCTGATCAATCGACTGCTACTAGACGTTGCACCGTGTTGCCAAAGCCAAGGGTATGTCTCAAGTATGGGACCTAGTAATAGGAGTAAACAATAGTAGTAGTAGTAGTAGTAGTAGTAGTAGTAGTACTAGTAGTAGTAGTAGTAGTAGTAAGATTAATAAGTAAATAGGACCAGACCAAGAACAACACGCAACTGGCGGACCCTCCAACCATGCGACATCGTCCTTGAGATCTACCCGAGTGCGTGGAGGTCCTAGCCTTCCAATCGCATCAGTTGTCTGCGGTTAAGGCGGTCAAGGTTCGCTGCTTTTACGTAGTTTCCAGTGTAATACAGCCTTGTGCGCAGATGCTAATATGGATCCCCCGCATGCTCCTTTTTCTCAGCGTATGCAGGTTTAAAACTGTATACACAATTCTGATTTCTACCAATATTAGAGACTCCACTTAGGATACAGGAAAACTGTACCAGGAATCGCTATAGGGTTTGTGGTTAGGGAGAGGAGATAATGTGAGCGACACTCTTACGCTTCGGGCAGAAAGCAGAAATTAAAAAAATTGTCTGTTGCCAGACTGGAGCTTCCGAGTGGCATGTCTTTGGGATATTTTGGGATTTTGGATTGAGCGCTGTATGTGGTCCAGGATTCCCGACAAGAGTTCATCACTTTGCGTAACAGCACAACTTGCCCAAACCAGCAGACAGAAGATGGTCGGCGCACGAACCTTAAGTCTCGTCACAAGTTTCACAAGCACCCCCAGCAGTGGGGTTCTTTTGAGACTGGGAACCAAGAACATCTAAGGATAGTAGATCACCCCTATGGCCTTCCCCCTCTCAACCACTCCTCAAGAAAGCTTAATTAGGGGCTCCCGAAAAACGGTGGTCGGTTTCTTAGAATTTCCTTGTATAACATCGGCTGTAGTCTTTGCACCCCTATGATGAACATATTGGAGATATGGAAAAATTTTGAACGTAGAGAGAGTAGAGAACAAGGAGAATGCTGGTAATAAGGGGCTAGGAGCATTGACATCTATGGGCTGCTGGCCTATCACCCAGTGCCAGAAGCTACTCCAAAGCTGCCTGCCCCCCGGGCTTTGGCCCATATAGTTGAGCGCGCAAGCCTTCAAGCCCTGCCTCCCACTTCTATGGCACAAATGCGG